TTTTTAGGGGTTGTTACCCCACCCTAGAGAATTACCAAAACTTTGGTTACCTGCGAGCTTTTATTTCTTACTGGACAATACGAAAACAGAGCTCTTATGTGATTCCGTTTGTATCGCTATGCACTAAGTTTGTATATATATAAATAAACTTCAGCTATTCAAAAGCGAATACATTTTTATTTCAACCAGGGCATGCATATTTTTTTCACCCTGCTTGTAGAAATTAAATTCATTTTTACATCATTGCTTTCATTACCTAGCATCATGGTTTATTTCCCATCACCGAAGCCATTATGTAGTAGCAACTACATTTAGTCAACCCCGCCCCCCCGTCTCTACGAACAATAAACCTTTTTTCACGTTTTGTAGTCGGTGTTGATTTCGGACGCGATTTACCTAATATTGATTATGTTGCACAAGACCATCTTCATTTCAAATGTTCTAAACCTAGAATATTACTTGAATGCATTGAGAAGCCATTCGAAAAGGTTTACGAAATTCATAGATATGTACACTTTAAAGTTTACAAGATCCAGACGACTAGGTTATGTCTTTTCTGCTTGCTACGCGCTTACCTTGTTAAACACAATAAAATCGATTATGTTAAGCTCCTCGAAGCTAATAAAAGGCTCTAATTAATACACTTTAGAATGGTTGTATGTGTTTTATAAACCTTTATTTAATCTTCAAAAAAATACGCAATTTTAAACACGTGTCTAGAGTATTTTCTTTGATACACACAATAACAATATGGCCGGCGTACGAGTATTCCAACATGCGTTTCCAGTGTATATTATTCGAAAACAAATTTCAGTAGTGAAGTGCTAAATTGTCGTTTTCCAATACTCGGTACCCACATGAACGAAAGGCACAAGATCACGTGGGAAGGAAAGAACGAAAAAAGTTATTTTCTAGCTGCCGAAATCTCGACGCCATCTTTGTTGTAAGAAGTAAACAACGAAGAGAACGGAGAAAATCGCGAAATTGTTGAACGCATGAAAAATCATTTTTATTATGCAAATTCTTCTATAAACCATGCCGTTGTGTTAAATTATTCTTTATCTTATGTGTACACACGTTGTCACAAGCGAAAATGAAGAAAATTGCAGTAAAAAGCCACCACCAAGTTGTAAACAACGAAGAATTGTAAACAAACGGCTAATGTCAAAATCGGTCAACTTTTTTCCTAAATGCGATTCTAATGCAGCGTTTTTGCTGCATTTAAAATGAAACATTTAGCACTTTCGAACATATGTTTTCGAAGAGCGTTCATGCTATCGCATTTAGCAAATGTCCATTTACGCGAGTTCGAAATCGTATGCTTTTGACAAACAGCCGTGTTCCAGTAGCTTATTCAGATCCGTATCTATTACGATAAATTCTCACGGAAAAGATAATGTCCAAAAATCCCTACTGAAAAGGAAAAAATAAATTCTAAACCGAAAATTCAATACAAAAACTCGAATTGTTTTAACCATAACCAAACATTTGTTTGTGTATATATTCATTTGTCGGTGCTGTCAATTATAATTTCCACACTTAATTAGGAAACAAAACAAACAGAGTTGATCACAAATTAATCCAGATTTCTATCAGCATCATATCGCTGTTTAATTTGCGTAACTTTTCTTTATCCAAATAATGTAAAATATTAAATGAAATCTCGATCGGCGATCACTGAAACGCAGCTAGCGACTGTATACTCGAAAAAGCAATGTTGCCACTTCTTCTCATTAAACCATGTTCGAATCGTGGAAATTTTGGAAGATCACAGGGTTGCTTTTAGCATTTAGATTCTTAATGCAAAAATGGAGTTGCATTTAGGTGACGAATTTTGTATGGATAAATGTACATTTAGAGTAGCATTTAGAGCTAAATGCGCTAAATGTGCTTTTACGCGTAAGCAAAAACAGCTCATAACGGGCTAGTCTCCTGCCCGCGTGATCTTGTCTTTTTGGTTCATGCGGTACCCAATACTTCAGAAAGTTTTTGGTACGGAATACTTCCTTTTCGGTACCCAATACCAATGCTATTCATAAATTAAGCCTTCGCCATAATATACACTAAAATTAGGCGCAGCTTTTTGACATCATTTTCAACAGAACTTCTGTTAAAAAGCTGCATAGACTTTATTTCGACTATGAATATGCTTCACAAATACGAATAAGACGATGTTTTCTCAAAAGTTTATCAATTTGTACTGAACAATGGGGAAACCACACATCGGAAATATTGCCGTCGCAAACAACACTGTCATCGCCTTCTTGACCTTACCGCAACAGTTAACAGTACTATTGTATCAGTTTCCACCTTCATAGATCTAAAGGCTCTGTTATGCGTACTTGGCATTGGCAGAAGAAGAAATTACATTATGATCAAATAAAATTGTTAAATACGTATTCCTACCTTCAAAATTTTCGCAAAGTGACATTTCTTCACAGTATGTATACTGTCATCAAAACTCCGATGTTTTTAACTTGCTCGCTCTAACGCATAGAATTCTTATTAGAGTACGAATTCTTATCGGGTATGTAGCTCTAACAAAGGGACATTTTTTTGACAGTTCGAACAAAAAATTTGTAAGTGTGTGGGTGAGATGACTAAAAAGTTGTGAATGTGTTTGTACACCGTTTGAATTTCAGGGGAAAGTGGTGAGCCGTGGCTGGAAGGGATCATGAACAGTGTTGCCACAACATTTTTTTTTATTTTTTACCAAAATTTCCGGAAAAAGTTACCAAATTCAACAAAAAATTACCAAACTTATTTTATGTGCAGAACTGTACAAATATACATTTGTGTGTACATATATCCGAAGACACCAAGCTTTTCAGGCCATCAGCGCTCCATTCACCAAAAATTTTTATAACTGCGTTAACGCTGAAAGCCACAACACCAGAAACGCTTGGTAAAGATTTCAAACCTATGGCCGAAGAAACCAATTTGTCGATTGCGCGTCGTTTTAAGAACATGGTACAGCCTTATGTCTTATAATGGTATACTTTGCATTTGGATATACATCTCCATCCATACAAAGCTCAGGCCACAAAACAACTGACGGCATATGATCATTCAGTGTCAAGGATACGGTTCATTGCAACAGAGGATTAACAGAGGATAATTTCCCGTAGAGGGAATGTCATTTGACCACTGAGAAAATCCGGCTTGGTACCATTGGACTTTTTTATTATATTATAAAAAATCAACGGTGAATTTTAGCGATTAAAACTTGGACTTTATTCTATTAGAATTCAATGGGCTATAAAATTATATACCCAGAATAATATCGAAAAAAGTTTGAAACTTGGATTTACAAGCGTTCTGCTAAAGAAATCACTATATTTTTATAAAAAAATAACCAAAATTAAATTACAAAAAAAAATTAATATGTTAAAACTTGTCAAACTTAGCACCATATGTGCGGCTATAATCGTTTCGACCACTGCTTTCGACAACAACAAGCTTTCGACTCACACATAGACAAAGTGAAGTCCCCCACTAAATTCCGTTGAACGAGAATATACATATTTACATAGAATTAAACTCATATGTATGGTTGCCGGGTACAATGGAAAATTGATGGTAACTGCAAAGCTGACAAACTGACAGTGAAAGGTATGACCACCCAAAACCTCTCGGGAAAGGATATGGTAGATATAGCGATAGCCACTTTCAAGCAGTTTTATAGATCATACCTGTCTTTTAACCAAGGAACGCTGGAACACATTTTCGCCTTGAGAAACTTTCAGGATTACCTGGTATTTATATAAAAGGAAACGCTTACGGGCCACTTCCTAATGTGGAATCAGAACCTTTATTGACCTATGTGTCATGTAGGACCGAATCGAAAAAGTTACCAAATTGAAAAAAAAAATTACCAAATTACCAAATTTGTTATAGAAAGAAAAAAATAACCAATTTTGGTTAAAAATTACCAAAGCGGCAACGCTGATCATGAACCATCCCTGCAAGAACAGTGACTATCATTTGACAAATCATTTGAGTGGCAAGACTGATAGAGATTTCTGTCACTGGCTACCTACAAGTTTCTATCAACTACTAAAGGGCAGTGTGAAAAATCTGATGTAAACATTTGTGTACATGTGAGCTTCCGTCTTCCTCCAACTTATGGGACTATTTAATCGTCTCTTTTTAACCAACGCAAAATTTGCAAATGTGTTAGTAAGATAAATGAGAATGTGTTAGTTTCCATCACACAATTCTTGTAGGGATGTCTTTCGTTCATGCTTGGATATCATGAACCATGGCGGAATTACACCAGGTGAAGTAATTAGAGCGAGAAGAAAGATTTTGACACTGCCTTATGGTCTGATTATGCATACTTCGCACAACTTCGCATAAACTTCAAACTGTAATTTCGTATGTATTTTGTATGTATTCCATTAGCCAGAAATTAACAGAACTTTTAAAAACTTAGCGAGCTGTCGAGTTTACATTGTGCTTCACATTTTCTTAAGTTACATTTTTTTTGCACTGCACATTAGGTCAAATGATTACTTTTTCTGTGCGAAATTAATAGCAGCTAAAATATTGCATTTTTTAATGTAAAATGATGGAAAACGTTAAAACAAGTGTAAAGGCAGTAAATAAAATATTAAACAGACTTGGCTTTCATAAAACAGACTTTACTGCTTTTTTGTATGATCAAATGATGAGTATATGTTTTAGGTAGTACTCAAAAACATTGTCCAATTAGCTTGGTTTTGACACAAGTTATTTTCTTACCATACTCAGCCCCCTCCCCTTTAATATAAGCTACATAATAAAATAAGTATGGTCACACGTACATAAATGGTTTCTTCTAGCGATTAGTTATGGCATTATCGAAATTCCTAAATTAAAAAAATTAAAATATTTACTACATGTCTCGCAGATATGTCTTGAGGAGAGATTCCTAAAGCAGTTAGCCTTCCTAAAACACTTCATTTTCACCTGAGGTTTCAGTATTTCCAAATTCTCCACCGATATTATCTATTTATATTCACAATACAAATGCTGCTTTGTGACACATTTACCAAAAACCGCTGGTAACTTCCTAAAAGAATACGAATGTTCATGAAACTAATTTGTTAAAAGAATGTTCAAAGCTCTATTCACTTTGAGTAAAAAAAAATCGAAATTTCAGTCCGTGAGTTCTCTCAAGGATTTGCCTTTTTGCGAAGGCGCTAGTGTATTTGTAACATAGCCTCGGCTACGCTACAGGAGATGAAATGTAATCCAAACTGAGGCTGCTATTTTTTTTTTTTGCTATCTCATACTTCCATTTTCACTATTTATCACCATTAAAATGGATTATTTATCACCAAAAAATGTTGGAGATAGCTGTAAATTCGGAAAAAAGTTGGCTATCCTATTTTAGCACTTTAGCGATAGCGAAAGTTAGAATCCGGCTGATGGTCGACACAGTTGGCTTTTTAATTTCGAAAGGAACTTCATCAGCAAGAAACGCTATGTTTTCAGATCTAAATATTTTAGCATCCTTTCCAAATTGTTTCCCATAATTTTCATATTTATTTGACAAATAATTGCAAAAAATACGCGTTTTTTCTCCTAAAAGCAAATATTAGCAGCACCAAATATTTTTTCCAAACATGGTTGACAACCGAAAAAGGCTTTTCTTTTTTCGAACATCCAATCAGCCAAACTTCAGTGATAGCATGATAGCCCAGAAAAAACCGTTTTTCTCGAAAACGGCTAAAAACGGCAAGTTAAGTAAAATATATTGAACTCATTACATCTTAATTTATCCATTTCCGATTCCATTTTGTTTGCCGAAAGTTAACAAAATTGTAAAAGCTTACATAAAATCATAAATGGAAATAAAGCAGAAAATTTTTGAGGTTATGCAAATAAGTCAGTTTTTTGCAAACAAATGGTAAAAAGTCACTTTTTTAAATAGGGACATAGGTTCTCACTTAGATATAGTTTTGTGTCCCATTTAAAATTTTCTTTTAGTTA